GGGTGCAGATTTAAAAAAAAAACATTAAATTATACAATGAAATTATTTGCGTTACAAAATTTTGTTTTGCTTTTCTTGGTAATAATAGTATAATCTTGGTAAATTCGGGGCCCACTTGAGGAAGCCTTACCCATACCAAGATATTATTAAAAGGTGACAGCGTTTCAAAGTATTATCTGCTACTTACATTCATACTGAAAAGTACTGATTTTTATGGCATGAAAAAGTCTAATGTACTGATTTCGCGCCAAAAAAAAATCTGGCAACCCTACGCACGAGGAACGTGCAGAAGAAAATGAATGGAGACGTGCCAATATTTCACAGGTTCGCACTGCAAAATCACCACCTCAAATTCGACAGAATATTACTAGAAGACCAGTCGTAAATGTTGAATTGAATCGCGCTGCTTTCGAATACGATTCCGCAATCGCCTACAAAGATCTTCGCTGCGTTGATATCGGTTATTGTCTGTCCTATGCCAGTATTGCAATGCATTGAAGTTTCAATTGAAAACCCCCGGCTTATGCTGCGCTGGTGGAAAGGTGAAACTGCCAGTTCTGACTCACAGGCTAAAGGCCAAAATACTGCTAATATAGGCAGTCACTGCCGCAGCAAATACAATACGGCGTTGTCAGTGACAGCTTTTTTTTGGCATTCCCTTTTGTTTGTTTACATTTTTGTTGTTGTCTTTTGGGCTTCAGTGACATGAACAGAAGTTGGCTGCATTTTACTTATGTCAAATTCAGCATGCGAAGTTTGCTGCGATGAGGGCAGTGGCAGCGAATTTAGAATTTGGGCTAAACTGAGCAGTACTGCCAGCTGCCACTGTTGTATTGTGAGTCGCTTCATTGGACACCACACTTTCTAAAAAACAGCTAATTTCGAAAAACTGCCACTGCGTTATTGTATTTTGGGCTTAACCTTATATTCGTGGCTTGCGTTTTTATATGCATGCCGTCGAATTCGTTTTTTTGCGTCACCCGAAATTGGCTTGCGTGCGTTTGCATTTTATTTCATTGAGCGAAACGTCAAATCTAAATGTCACGCAGAATAAAAATTGGAAATTGAGTTAGCTTCATATGAACGCCGTTCAATTTCGTGTTTGGCATTGCCGATCGGAATGCAAACGACGAGGTGACGAAATTTCAACTTGGACGTTACGTAAGTAGTAACGAGGCAATTTGGCGGCTGTTTTCATATCCGAGGCATGAACGTTACCCGGCTGTCGTACATTTGGCAGTTCATTTGGAGAACGGCCAGCGTGTCTACTTTGCGAACGCAAATGCAGCGCAAAGAGCAGAACGACCACTTGCGACAACATTGACAAATTTCTTTTCGAGATTCGAAAGCGATCCGTTCGCAAGGACTTTAATCTATTCGGAAATGCCACGCTATTATACATGGAACGCTGCATCGAAGAAGTTTCAATGCCGAAAGAAAGGTGATGCTGTTGCTGGCTTCATTGATGTCTGTTCGACTGATGCCCTCGGACGAATATACACAGTTCATCCACGCCAAGACGAATGCTTCTATCTTCGCTTGCATTTGGTGAACATTAGAGGCCCTACATTGTTCGATTCCCTGCGTACTGTGGATGATGTGCTGTGCGCCACTTTTCGGGAGGCTTGCCAACGTTTGAATTCGCTCGAAAACGATACACATTTGGACTCAACGCTCGCCGATGCAACTGTTTCTGCGCCAGCCAATCAAATTCGTACATTGTTTGCGATCATCATAGCTACATGTCATCCGTCGAACCCGACGGCATTGTTCGACAAATACAAGGACGAGATGACGGACGACATTTTGCACAAAGTTCGCACGACAACTTCGAATTTTGATCTCGAAATTAACAACGAGATTCGCAACGAAGCATTAGTTTTGATCGAGGACATGTGCGTGCTCATCTGCGGCAGTCTGCTGTCGACATTGGGAATTCTAGCGCCAAATCGTTAGCTGCACGATGCATTCAATCGCGAATTGCAATGGGAGAAAGATTATGATCAAGACGCTGTTGAATGCCGAACGTGTACGATTCGCTGATGAAAGTTGTGGACGATGGAACGGGAGGTATTTACTTTGTTACGTGGATGCATTGTTCGGTGAAGGCGAGGTGGCGCATAGGCATGCTGGCGGACCCTAGATAGCTCGTCGGATGCGTGGATGGTTACCACCCACCTTACCTACACCCCCATCAACAAAAAAGTTTCTAGTCATGCCTAGTTATGCTAAGTGCAGTGAAAAAGTAAGGTTGTGAAAGAAAGAGGGGAAATACAAAGTAACTTCTAAAGCAAAAAAAAAACTAAAATCGCAAAACTCGGAACAAATCCAATAATCCAGCTCAAACACCTCGCCTTCACCGAAAAATGCATCCACGTAACAACTTTTTCGTTGCTCCCGGTGGAACAGACAAGTCATTTGTCACTTCGTTGATTCTGGCAACAATCCGGTCAACATATCAAATTGTGTTGGCTGTTGCATTCTCTGGCATTGCTGCCACTTTGTTGGAAAGCGGTCGAACTGCACATTCTGCTTTTAAGCTGTCGAAGAATCTTCTCACGGTTGACCAGCCAACGTGCACGATAACCAAGAATTCGGCGACCGCGAAAATGCAAAATCATCATTTGGGATGAATGCACGATGGCGCATATAACTACAAGCTTTGGAGGCAGTTGACCGAACAATGAATGCTGAATTCTCGAGGCAACTGCTAGCGCTTGGCAATGGCCAAATTCCTGTTGATGTTCCGACTGGATTGATATCGTTCCCGGCAAATTTTTGTGAGTTCATATGGTCGAAGGAGGAACTCATCACCAAAGTGTTCCCCGACATTGCACAAAATTATAAAAATCTCGATTGGATTAGTGAACAGGCAATACTAGCAGCAAAGAATAAGGATGTCATAGCTTGAATTTTGTTATTCAAAGTCAAATCGCTGGAGAACTGCACTCGTTCAAATCCGTTGACAGCGTGAGTGACGAGGATGAAGCGACCAATTATCCGACGGAATTTTTGAACTCGCTTGATGTGCCAGGAACTCCGCCGCATAATTTACTGCTGAAGGTGGGATCGATCATAATCATGTTGCGGAATCTGCATCACCCGAAATTGTGCAATGGTACGCGGTTGTCCGTCAAGAAACTGATGAACAATGTGATTCAAGCGTCGATCATCAAGGGAAAATTTAAAGGAAAGGAAGTCCTTATTCCACGAATTCCGAATATTCCAACTGATCTTCCATACCAATTCAAGCGGATTCAACTCGAGTTCGATTGGCTCTTGCGATAACAATCAATAAATCGCAGGTCCAATCGTTGGAAGTCTGTGGGATTAATCTCGAATATCCCTGTTTTTCGCACGGTCAGCTGTACGTTGCCTGTTTGCGTGTTGGCAAACCGTCTTCGTTGTTTGTTTTTGCGCCGGAAAACAAATCGAAAAACATTGTTTACCATTCGTTCTCTACTGAGAAAAATTTCCGTTATTGGAAAAGAGGGCGTGGCACCTTCAATACAAACCGACTTTTTCATACTGCATACCTCTATAATTCGGTGATTCCTAAAATATTTTTTTTTTTTAGATTTTTTAGTATATTTGTATGAAAAGTCTAATATATAAAGATATCGTATCTCGGTTTTTGTGGTCGAACTCCTCCTTTTTTGTGTATATTTGGTAGGTATGATAATAGGTTGTAAAGTATGTTTCATACCGCTAAGTGAAGGGTGCATGGAACCTCCTATATAAACCAATTTTTTCACACTTTATATCTGCAAGTGTTCATTGTACTCGCGCATGGTATGGAGATATATTAAATCAATCCCATACTCTTACATAAAATTGCGGCTATTTTATATCGTATTACGTATCTTTCTATGCATATACACTTTTGCAAGGTTATTTAAGATGGTAATGGAAATATGCCTTCTGACAACCACCAAACCATAATATTAGAGGATAAATGCGTCACTGAAAATCATGAACGTGAACTGTTGGTGAAAAAATATTTCAACACAAAAAATTAATTTTGGGCGGGATGAAGTTCGCCGGGTCTGCTAGTCTTAATATATAAAAANATTTAAGATGGTAATGGAAATATGCCTTCTGACAACCACCAAACCATAATATTAGAGGATAAATGCGTCACTGAAAATCATGAACGTGAACTGTTGGTGAAAAAATATTTCAATACAAAAAATTAATTTTGGGCGGGATGAAGTTCGCCGGGTCTGCTAGTCTTAATATATAAAAATCCCGTGTCACTGGGTTCGTTTACGCTAATCTCCGAAACCGCTTAACCGGTTTCAATGAAATTTTGTGGGTGTGTATTGTTGGTTCTAACTTAAAAGATAGCATAGTTTTGAACCCGAGAAATAAAATTTTTTTATCGAAATTTTTTCTATACTTCTCACAACGTTCTTAAAAATGCCGTGTCGCTATGTTCGTTTACGCTAACTACAAACTGCCCATATCCGAAGCGGGACTTTTCCATTGTTATTCGCGGCTACGCTTCATATGTATGTTTATGTTTGGGAGAAATAGGTACGATAGCAACAAAATAATGTATGTAGTGTGTATTTATGTATACATATAAACATGCGCACATCAACATCAACAAAAAATTTACCGTTTGGACACCATCCAGTGTTATCCATTCCCCTGGCTGATGTTTGAGAGATCGTTTTTTTTTTCAAACGTAGTGAACATTAATAACAAACTTTTGTAAATTACGATATCAAATGAAATGTAAGATAAAATATGGGTCCTCACACCGAGCTCGGTAATCGGCAACTCGGTGTCCAGTAATTTTTTCTAATGTAAAATAGTGTTACACAAACAAAATGCATGGGAAAATATTACCGAACACCGAGTTACCGAGTACCAAGCTTCGGTGTGAAAACTCATAATATCTAGGATGGCAGCAGGACAACGTCTGNGGGTCCTCACACCGAGCTCGGTAATCGGCAACTCGGTGTCCAGTAATTTTCTCTAATGTAAAATAGTGTTACACAAACAAAATGCATGGGAAAATATTACCGAACACCGAGTTACCGAGTGCCAAGCTTCGGTGTGAAAACTCATAATATCTAGGATGGCAGCAGGACAACGTCTGCCCGGGCTTACTAGTCTGTATATAAATACGCCACAAGAAAATATTAAAATCCCTTTTTGAAGGCACCGTTCGCTCGATTCCAATGAAACATACACCAATTTGAAGGATATAACTTCCTCTAATCCAGAAATGTAAACCCCGATATATAGAGGGAGTAGCATCTGACATATAGGCTAAAATGTGAAAACCACTACATCTCTAAAACCAATTATGATGGGAAAGTGAAACTTGGCACGTATGCATAAGTTGTAAATACCCTACTTACGGCGAAAAACGGTAAGTACTGGAAAAGTGAGTGTGGCACCTCCCATACAAACTGAAATTCTCATATCGCTTTTCTCTGGAACCGCTTATGCCAACGTCCTGAAATTTGCCACAGCAACATTTGTTGTCAATACCGTACCTATGGCTAAGAGAGTAAGATTTTGGAAAAGGGGGCGTGGCACCGCCCATACAAACTGAAACTCTCCAAGCGCTTTTCTCTCGAACCGCTTTTGCTAACGTCCTGAATTTGACACAGCAACATACGTTGTCAATACCTTACTTACAGCGAAAATTGGTAGATTCTAGAAAAGGGGCCGTGGCTCCGACCATACAAACTGAAATTCTCATATCGGTTATCTCTAGAACAGCTTACGCTAACGTCCTGAAATTTGGCACAGCAAAATACGTGTCAATACCGTTNCGTTGTCAATACCTTACTTACAGCGAAAATTGGTAGATTCTAGAAAAGGGTTATCTCTAGAACAGCTTACGCTAACGTCCTGAAATTTGGCACAGCAAAATACGTGTAAATACCGTACCTATGGTGAAGGGCGGTAGATTTTGGAAAAGGGGCAGTGGCACCGCCCATTCAAACTGAAATTCTCATATCGCTTACAACAATAGTTGCGTTCCCCAACTTTTCTGTGTTAAAACCTGTAAAACTGTCAAANCGTGGCACCGCCCATACAAACTGAAACTCTCCAAGCGCTTTTCTCTCGAACCGCTTTTGCTAACGTCCTGAATTTGACACAGCAACATACGTTGTCAATACCTTACTTACAGCGAAAATTGGTAGATTCTAGAAAAGGGTTATCTCTAGAACAGCTTACGCTAACGTCCTGAAATTTGGCACAGCAAAATACGTGTCAATACCGTACCTATGGTGAAGGGCGGTAGATTTTGGAAAAGGGGCAGTGGCACCGCCCATTCAAACTGAAATTCTCATATCGCTTACAACAATAGTTGCGTTCCCCAACTTTTCTGTGTTAAAACCTGTAAAACTGTCAAAAAGCAAATGAAGCCAAAGGACGGAGTACGGGAACGCTTTCAGGTAAATTCCTGTAAATTCTTGCAACTTCTTGCGAGTTAGGGAACGCAACTAATGTCGACCATAGTTTTAAATGCAGATGTGTGCGTACTTGCGTTTTCGAAGCAGTAACGTCTGTAGCATCAAAAACGGGGCGGATTCATTGCGACAGAATCGCATAGATGTGTGGATGCCTTTAATCTGGAACCGCTTATGCTAAAGTTCTCAGATTTGACACAGCAACATTTGTTGTGAATACCGTACTTACGGCGAAAAGTGTTAGGTACTGAAAAGGGGGTGTAGCACCTCCCATACAAACTGAAATTCTCATATCGGCTTAATCTGGAATCGCTTATGTTAACGTTTTGAAATTTGACACAGCTACAAATATTATCATTACCCGACTTATGCCGAAAAGTGATATATGTATATTCGAAAGGGGCTGTGGTACCTCCCACTGAAAAACCTATTTCCATATCGCTTGTTTCTGAGAAGGAGGAGTGCACAAAGTTTTAATTTTTCCGATAGGTGGTGCAGGGGTAAAAAAATCCCATTTAT